AGAAACCAATGTCTTTGTACTTAAAATTCGAAACATTCTCATTCATATGTGCCGTCTAAGTAATTTGAAAAACTAAAGGTATTCTTAGAAAACTAGATAGCTAACTATGATGATGATATGAACTATCTAATTGTCATTGTTATTGAATGATTTCGATAACAATAATAAGACGCAACCCTTGTAATGATGCGCTCTGCACTTTGATTGTTTATGTCATTAGTAAACTTTCCTTGTAAACACTGGGTTATCAATATCAGTGCAGAATATTGCGAACCCGGCAATAAAAGGAATAAATATTTGTGATTTATTACTGTGGTATTTGGTTTGAAAAATGCAAAGAAATTATGCAAAAAATTTATTTGTTTATAAATAAATAGCTGCATACCTATTCTCTGTTTTGAGACAAGCCGGCCTTTTATCTTACTACTGCATAACCAGGATCCACCTGATTGTAGTAGAGAACAAACAACAAAACAATGACACCCATCACTTCCCAGGGGCTTAAAAAACTATCTTGGATACTGTGCAGAAATAAATCGGGAAAAATATAAAGTAAAATTGCGGGAGACCACAAGGGATAGTTTCCACCTCGCTACCTTACTCTTCCAGTTAGTTTTTGCTGTCAGAAAGACCTAAGCAAAGTCATATTTACGAAACAAAAATACTATAAGACTGGAAGGAAATAGCCCAGGTACCAAACACTATAAAACTGACATAAAACAATAATGATTCCTGCTTGTAAGATATAACTTTTAACTCATTCAAAAGTAAATTATTACATATTATTTACACTTGCCTAATTACGTATAGTATTCGTTTTAGCTACAGGAGGGAGAGAAATTGAGGGAGGGAGTGTGTAATGCACCATGTATTTAAGGCACCAATGACGCCCCATCCACCCTGTCGTTCAAAAGAAGTTGTGATTTTGTTGTGTGTATTGTTTACTTTACACTGTGGCTCTACTGGCTCTACCTGCGAAGCTATTTTCAACTAGGATGAAACTTTGATTGACAATTTAAAAAATCCATCATCCATCATATGCGTTCGTATGTTCGTAAACTCAACAATTTGTGCGCTGGTCTGTTTGACCTACATCTCCCCATATACGGGTCACCGGCTTTCACCGAGCCTTCGCCTACACATTCGCTCTTCGACATGTTTTAATTAAAATTTTAAACTATGGTACCTAGCAGTAGTTGTCCAACTATTTTTATTGAATACCTCCCTGTATCAGGCTGAGCGCGAATAGACAACAGCGAAAGAGGCGCGCACGTCCTAACATGAGAACTAACTTCAATTTATATCTTAGTCAGAAAATTGGAAAGGTAGGTTTGCAATTAACAAACAATTATGCATTTTTTAAAATAAATCTAGATATTTCTTTAAAAGGTAGGGTGAAATTTTACACATTAGGACTTTCGCGGTAATAAAGGTAATAAACTAAAAAGTCGGTAGGTACCCCGGTAGGTACACAGACTCATTGTTACCAACGTGAAAAATAAAAACAAAAAACTATTTTTATTTTTTTCCGCTCAATAAAATAGCTAAATTCTTTTTTGTTTTATATCAATCAAATGGTAACACAATAGGTAATAATAGTTACTACAGTTAAATCAGAAAAAGGTAGCCGTAGTACCCCGTATTAATTTAACGCGAACGAAGCCGTGGGCAAAAGCTGGCGTGAGTTAATTATTTCATTGTTTTAATGACGCACTTGCAACATCTTGTTTGTAAAGGAATAGAATTAGATTTCAATTTAAATTTTTAATTCGTATCATTTTTGGTGTCGAGATGTCATATTGTATTCAATATCGAATTGGTGCTTCAGCTGCGTTTTGGTCGTACCTAATAAATCCCGGTAGGTGTTTACGTCACAATTAATTACTGTAGCCTGTATGCTGTGCGCGTTATAATAACCGTAGCGATATCGCTTATCAATAGTTTAATATTTCTTGGTGTTTTGCATATTTTCGATAACCTACTTTTTACAATTTAATACGATGAACAAATAATTAAATATATATTCTATATAAGTTTAGTATACAGGGATACCAAGGTTAATACTACTAACAACTTTAAAAAATAATGACTTCAATATTTAGACAGGGTATAGCTACCTACTTATTTTATTTATAGTTTCATAATTAAGTTACAGTTTTGTATTTCACTAAGTAGGTGCTATTGCTATAGCACCTTATCCTAAGGGTGCTTACCTAACTCTGTTAGTTTAAGTGTAAATCCTACAGTTTACTACAGTAACTTACTGTAAAGTATTATCTTAAGTACTTAAATCAATTTATTTTTCAAAGTTTCATTTCATTACAAAACAACGCATGCGGCTGTTTTGGTAACCGCATTTAGATATCATTATCGTGGAGCCATCCCACCCCCTTGACTTCACTAGTTAATTCTTAACCCAAACAAAGTTTACATAAAACTCCTTTTGTAACATAGCCAGCGGACAGTAGGTATTTACTATCTACCTACCTAATAGTCTGGTCATTATGGGCGCTTAAGTGCCTCATAACTTTACATAATGTGCTCTGAGTTATGATCAAGAGAAGCTATGAAGTGTAAAGCTCTGGAAATTCAAGCTCTAAGCAGGCTTTTAGCCTCTCTTACTTAATTTTCATGATACAAAATGCACCAAGTTCATCCACTCCGACATGAAACACTGTGGGGTCGCCGCCCGCACGTTCGATATCGATCTCTATACAACACGACTCACGCGATAGTTTCCAGTACCTACCCACCTACCTACAACTGAACGGAATTGTTCCAGATTAACTCTTTCAGATAAGCCTTTATAGGCCGAATACCTATTTAACCATACAATACAATACACAGCTCCTTCTTTCAATATCGAACAATATATAAGTAGGTACAACATTCCCAATCGATTATTGTCAGTAACAAGTAAACAAACGGCTCACCTAAATGCATTAATAAGTTATGACAACTCAAGGCCCTGAGAGAATCGATTGGAAGCATTCTATTCAATTATATTTTTGCTGTGTCACAGATATTCAAGAGTTCTACGAGCTCACACTTCTCGATGACACCAAGTCAGTTCAACAAAAGACTGCGGAAACGATACGTATCGCGAACAAATGGGAAGCTGACAACATTCGTCGCGAAGTAAGTACTTTACTTATATTTTAATATAGGTAGTGTTTGAAATCTGTATGAATCAAACGATAAACTACTGCAATAAAAAGCTCAAACGTGAAATACCTACTTGTTCATAACTTAAAGATTTAAATCGGATAGCAAGTTTGGATATCTGTTTGTTTGATGCAGTTTGCATTTCTCCTTGAGTCTGCAGTTTTAACTGGGTTATTTACAGATTCATTGTAAACTTCCCGACGTCTGGTCTTTATATTGACTTATTTCATTGTGGCTTACCTCACAATTGGCGTTGTTGTTGCTGTACAAATAGCAATGATGGTGCTTAGATAATGATGTTATGACACGATCATTTTGCTGCTTAGGTATCGTTTCGGAAACATCTCTAACTATTTTTAGAGGGTAGATACGTAGGTACTAACTTATTTCTTATTAGCTGCATATGTCGCTTCCCTAAGAATTTTACAACCAATGTTGGCACCCATATATTTGTAACACCTAGACAAGATAAATATAAATACAGTGAGTATTGCAACAATACTAAAAGACATTTATTAAATGGGTTCCTAGGCTTTCGTATATTTCAACATTTACTGATAACCTAAATCCATTCTGTTTGTTCATTATGAGTTGTTGGTCAAAACCAAGAAGCGCTCTAAACTGAGTAAACTTATTCAATAATACTGAGTTAGCTTGCATAATAATGTAGGCAAATACCATGCCATATACCCACTTAGGTACTGGCAGGTCTAGGTCAACTTTGCTTGAATAACCAATAAAGATAGATGCGGGTAAACACCTCAGATATGAATGGTTATATCTGATATGTACCTAGGTCTAGGTAACCAGGTTTTCGTTGTTCTTTCAGATTCCACACACAGAAGAGGGCGACTACCGCAGTGTATCCAATGCATTCCTACAAGAAAACCACAGAAAATCCGAATCCCGAAATGCTACGCCAGATTCGACGAAGGTGAGCCTGTGATTTACCCATACCTACTTAAAATCAATTTTCAAAACTAAGTAGGTGAGGACCTAGCTAGATAGAGCACAATGTACCTATTTATGTGCAATAAACAACGTCACACTAAGGTATAAACCTACAATAGTACATACAACATTGTGTGTGACGAATTTGTGATTAGTTACGATTAACTTATCAGAAAAGTAAATCAGCAATTCGACTCAATGTGAATAAGACTCAATGGTATACAGACTCCTTGACGATGAATTTAATAAACTGAATGAACGATGTTGCCCCTAGATGTCGTTGCTGAGGCTCTTAGCAAACTGGATTTAGTATCGGATTGAGGGTGAATTGCGGTTTGCGACTTTGCTACCTCACCGAAGCAACATGAATTTCTAATGCCTTTTCTGAACTAAACTACTTAAATTTGAGCTAGGTTTTTAAAGACGGCAATTTGATTTACTGGTTCTTACCCAACCTTACGATACAGCCCGTTCCACCGGTAATTTTAAAAGTTTATCTTTAATGTATTTGGCTTTTTAAAATCATATCTGTAAAAGTAATAATGCTTTTGGTTTAGGCTTATTCTGTCGTTCTACCGACTGGAGAAATCGAGGAAAAAAAGGTAAGTCTCTGAGAGTTCACCTATTTGAAGATGTCTACCCCTATTAGCCTATTTATTACCGAACTATCTTTTTGAACTCATTGAACATTATTAATTTTTGGTCTAAGTCATGACAACAATGGTGAAAATTCTTTAATTTTGAAATAAAATAATAATAAGTTGTTGCCATAGTCACTCTCTTGCAACGTACAGCGCCATCTTCTGTAAATTGTTTATAGTTTTAAGAATAGAGTCGTGGATCGGGCGGTGGATCGATACGATTCCTTCTTTTTTTTTTATTTTGATGACGTGACGTTTACGAAAGTGGCTGAACTGAACAGAGCGCTAGGTACAACAAGTGGACGGTAATGGCGGATGGTTGGTGTTTCGCGTCTCGTAGTACTATTTATAACCTAAAATATAGTACAAGTTTTCGGCGATATGTGCGCTAACGTTTCTTGGTTGTGTGGATTGGTGCCGTTAAATTTCACAATTGTGCCAATGACGTACGAACGCTACATCGACTGAAAGTATACTACTCTAAATGATAATCAGTGAAATGATATTGCACACAAAATTTTGACATTCACACTGCCGAGATTTCGTATTCGTTGCAAGTAAGGCCATTTAATAAACACTAATCTATTTTTAAACGTTTAGTAATTTCTTTACACTCTGGGAACGTTTTCAATACTTGGTGAGACTAATGCGACTTCGGAGTTAGTTTTGCTTGTAACAATTCGCTGTTACTTGCCCATGGTTGATAGGTACAACATAAGTATTATGATACTATCAAGTGTCCATAAATTGCACACTAATAATGTAACACGGACATTCTAATTAAGGTTCATCGCTTTGACATTCATACCATCCTATCATCGAACACAAGTTGGTAACACGCCTAATAATTACCCAGCCATACATACCATATCTACTAAACGCTATCAATAAAGGGCTCGGCTAAAATTCGTCCATTCATTAGATAAGGACTGCTGCAATTTAAACTAAGCTAACATGATAAAGAGCTTTAAATGTAATGGGATTACCTGCAACTTGAAAAGAGGTCGCATACCTTCTAAAAGGTCACATACCTACTTGATATGTTTTGGTGCAAGTTAGTTGTGGGTTCTAGGTAGAGAATGGTGCATGCTGAACATCGTCAAGTAAGCTGAAAGTGGACACAAGTGTGTAACTAACAATGCATGCAGTGTACATAGTGTAGTACGGACAACAAAATAAATTCCCTGAGGGCTATGCACACTTGGTCTTGAAAATGACAGAAAGACGGAAGAAAAAATCACATAATGGATTCCTTCGGAAAGTGTCATCCTTGTTTAATCTTGATACGGTGAGTAGGTGACATGACTTCAATTTGATTCAGTTCCAGACAATCAATGAAACATTAATGAATTTTCACTGTTGTCACATGACAATAATTGTTGCTTATATTTCTCCCCAGACTATTTAATAATTGGCAGTAGGTTCATGTATCTATTAAGATATTTGTTATTTAAACCTATATTATATAATATTTATATGATTTCTATCTATAAAAAATTGTGCTATTATCTGTTATATCAACACCTAATTGTTTATTGGCATTTAATTACTTCCAGGTGTTCAATAAGTATACATTTATGAAATTGTATGATATGTAAGCGTTATAGTATACCAGTTTGGATTGGCCCTCCCTTAGAATTAATGTTCATAATATCCAGAATGTCAATAAGATCCCTATATTACATTCATATTGGTTTTTCCTAGATACCCTTGTTCATGTTATAATAAATGTAAAAGATGTTTCTGTTGTTGTTTTTTATAAGCATGGCTTGGTAAACTTTTATTAATTTTATTCATATATAATTCAAAACATAACTGTGAATCTATAAATGAATATCCAGTGTAAATATAAACATTTCTATTGAATACATTTAACAATACCTATATTATTTATATGTTATATGTACATAATATCATTATAACATTCCTAATTATAATTACCTATTTCTATTTGCTACAGTATAAGTTGATTTTATCTTTTTTTTTTATTTACTTTGGTGATAAGGTGTCATATTAACTTCTCATAGTACTACTGATAATAATCTTACTATAGCCATGGAAAATTTGGCCCTTAGTTTGAAGTTTAAAGTTAATTTAAGTATTATTTTCAGGCTCACGTCACATCACCAGAAATGAAGCAGGTATGTTATAATATCTGTTCAATCTGAAGACTCTTGATATTTTAGTAGTGACCCGCCCCAGATTTGCAAGAGCGAAATAGCCACTATTTAATGGATATATACATATAAACTGCTCTCTTCAACCACTCTTATTTAAAAAAAATAGATCATAAGCTTCTGCATTGGTTTAAAGAAGATGTCATACATATGGATATAGGGACAGAGAAAGCGACTTTGGTTTATACTATGTAATAATTTTTCTTACATTTAAGTAATTTAAAAGTTGAATGTGAAACAATAAACATAATTAACACACTTAATGACCTAGGTACTTGATAACGTAAACTTCATTAATACAAAATTCTAAACAATGATCCTTAAGTTGAGATCTGTACCTAGACAGAAATAAAATTGTTCTGTCAGTCAAATACAGACATTTTGAATATGAACACAGGTGGTAGTTGATATCATTACATGAGCTGATATGTTATCAATCCTTACATCATTCCCTTGAGATCTTAAGACTCTAATCTATAGACTTTAACATGGTAAAAATGTATGTAGCATAATTGCTAACAAAATGTAACAGCCTTTGCAGGTAAATGGCATAGAAGGTGGTGGCACAGACCGTACGCAGGGTGAGGATGGGTACATATACATGACGGTGGTACTCTCGCGTGCGGGAGGAGCGGGGCTTGGCTTCAGCATTGCAGGAGGGTCGGACAACCCTCATGTGGCTGATGACCCACACATCTATGTCACAAAACTCATTCCCGGAGGAGCGGCTGCTGCCAGTCAGCTGCAGATCAATGATGCAATATTACAGGTAACAATTACCTATTAACATAAATATATTTAAAAGCTTGCTCTCGTAAGTGTTTCATCTGTCAAATGTTTCAAGCCATGCTTCGGAATTCATTATCATAAGAAGCAGCAGCAACCAAGAAATGCTATACAATATTACCCATTTATGTAATTTCAGTGAATACCTATAAATTAAAAGTTGTGTAGTAACTTTAACTAGCAGCTGTGGCCAATTAATTAATTACATGGTCCATTTCTGTGGAAAAATGTGGAGCTGGGAGATTTACTGATACTCGATTATTTACTAAGCGAACTTGGTAGTATTCGTTCTATTCTCTATTTTAATTTTGTCTTAGGTGAATGAAACTAACGTCGATAACGTTACGCATGCTGAAGCGGTGGATGCATTGAAAAAAGCTGGCAATACAGTGAGACTGGTGAGTTTGTTTATTTACTTTATTACGTTCTCATCAGCTGCTGTGTCAAGATTAAGCAAATACATGACTCAAGCTATGAGCCTAATGTCTTTTTACGTCACTTGATTACGCGGTCATCTGAGCATACAAGGATCCACACTTATAAGACGTTGATTAGCTAAAGTGAAGCGTTTACTGTCGAGGTGTGCTGTGTAATTAGTAGTGCAAATGCCGTAAAGCATTTATTGTTTTGAAATTAGTGACAAGTGTCCATCAAAGTAGGCTAGTATAAACAGTTCGCGATATATTGCGTGATGTTACAACAGTCGCCGCATGCCGTACTCCACTCGTATCGCACAATTAAACAAACCATGAAGGAGGTTTTATTAAATGCAATCAGAAGAATCAATGTACGTGTACACTGTACATAATATGGGTGACATACTTCATAAACCGAATAAATTCGTCATTATGCTAAGAACATTGATTGTTCATGTGGTTCTTGCCAACTTTGATTCATAATCGAAATATTGAGGGCGTCTGCTATGTGAAACTCCAGCGTTTGGCCTTGGCACAAGGACTCTTTTACAATAAAGATTGTGTGTCCCGCGAAAACCATGACTCATTGCCGTTGAACTCGTCCGTCTTCGATACATTAAAAATATTTATAAACTTTCAGAAAATACGACGTCGCGCGACAGAAGATACTTCTAATGTTTTACAAGTAACGAAGCCCGAGGAATCCGTAGAGATCGAGTTAGTGAAAGGTGGCTCAGGTCTCGGGTTCAGTATAGCGGGGGGTCTCGGCAATCAACATATCCCAGGCGACAATGGAATCTACGTGACCAAGATAATGGCCGGTGGTGCTGCTCATAGAGACGGCCGTTTGAGGGTCGGTGATAAACTCCTAATGGTCAAGAACACTTCGGTGAGTTTTGTTAACGAACTTACACATAGCGAGGTGCTAATTGTGGTGGGAACGTAACGCTAATGTTTGTCCGCAGCACGGCGACGTGAACCTGGACAACGTGACGCACGAGGACGCGGTGGCGGCGCTGAAGGCCACCGGCGAGCGCGTGCTGCTGGTGCTGGTGCCGGGCCCGCGCCACGGCCAGCCCTCCCCGCGCACCTCGCGCGCCAACACGCGTGAGTACCGCACGACCTTCGCAGCTTCGCCCTAATCTCGCCTGGCCCTGCAGGCCTCCGTCCAATGCCAGCCTTTATTGCTAGTTCAAACAAGCTGATGTAATGTGTACCCGACCTTTGTTTACCTATATGTTATATCGTCCTATTAAATATTGCACATACAGCCACGAGAATGACAATTGAAAATACTGAAACAGCGTCAAGCACAGCAAATTCGCTGCGACGTGAAGATGTGACGGACAGCAATGAGGAGTCGAGGGTGGTGGAGCTGGAGAAGGGTCCGCAGGGGTTAGGGTTCAACATAGTGGGTGGTGAGGACGGCCATGGCATTTACGTATCGTTCCTACTGGCGGGAGGCCCGGCCGAGCGCTCGGGACAGCTTCGCCGCGGAGACAGACTGCTCGCAGTCAATGACGTAGACATTACTCACGCTACGCACGAACAAGCCGCTAAAGCTTTGAAGGTAATCTATATTATCATGATTCTATTTACTAAAGTATCAATATACCAGTAGCATTGAGTAGGAGCCAATAAATTGTCGTAGTGTCATTTCATAACTACTGGATGCATTGTGTGACATTGTTAGTGTTGAAATGTACGCGGAAGTTAACGTTTATAATTTAAACTTAATGTTTTGATTAAATTTAGCCTTGCACATACTTTATGCTCTGGAGTAAAGTTACAATATGCGTTTTCACATTATGACAATCTCTTTAGTATTTTTACACTAAAACCAAAATATTAATGCACCTGCATAATTAAAGTATTCTGACATACCATATTAATTATTTTATAGTGACTCGTAAGGAATTTAAATCCGTATCTATTTATCGCTGCATATATTTATGCTAAACTCGACGACATTTAATGAGTACTTGAACTTATTGCTCAGGATTGAGTTCAGGAACTATTCAATGATTTGGAGTATGGTGGATAGACCTAAGGACAACGAATTAATTCAGATCTTGTAACATTTCAGAGTACGGGACAGAATGTAAAATTAACAGTGGTGTACAGGCCTCAGGAATACAACAAGTTTGAAGCGCGTATTAATGAACTGAAACAACATCATACACTACTGAGAACATCCCAAAAACGATCCCTCTATGTTAGGTGAGATCATGCACTTATTCAGAATATATAACAAGTATTTTAATTTACTTTTCCTCAAATAACACAATAAATACTTACATAACAAAAACATGCTACCTATTAAAATTTAACAAGTATTAAAATTGTAATGTAATAATTTGCTTATCAATATTTATTTATTTCAAATTGTTCACTTTGAATTTTCTTGATTTTTTATTGATTGTATTGTAAAAAAATAAATCCAGTAATTAAATCATCTGGTTTTTACGTAGTAACGGGAATGAAGGATAATAATATATATTTCCTTGTTTATAACTTGTTATGTTAATACTGGTATTTATATCGATTGCAGAGCATTGTTTGACTACGATCCCATAAGGGACGATGGTTTGCCGTCGAGAGGTCTACCGTTCAGGTACGGCGACATCTTACACGTGACCAACGCTTCGGACGACGAGTGGTGGCAAGCCAGGTATGGTAAAACTTAATATAAATAGGTTTCATATTTAACTTTACCTGTTTCCATAACTTATCATCATTTCAGCTACAGGATATACATAAAATAAGCGTTTTTGCTATGATTTACAAATTGAGCCATCGGTTTTTTAATCTTATATATAAAAGTGAATTGCTGTTCATTAGTCAAACTAAATCTCTAGAACTACTGGTCCGATTTGCCTAATTTTGGTCTTGAAATATTCGAGGAAGTCCGAGAAACATAATATTGAGGTGGATTTTGGTGGTGGTTTGCCGTATAATATTAAATCTTGTTTAAAAACAGATCTTTTTTATAAAGGCTATATATTATTTGAAACTGAAATTTAAATTCAATACATACATTTATTTTTTCTATCTACAGGAAGGAGTGAAATAACACCCATGCGTGTTGTCAAATAAATTACCTGGTCTATGTATAATGTGCATAATTAGGTATTCTGATGTTGAATTATGTGATTTCAGACGGCTTGACAAGTCGGATTCAGACGCGATAGGCATCATCCCATCGAAGCGACGGTGGGAACGTAAGCAGAGAGCTCGGGATCGCCAAGTCAAGTTCCAGGGACAAGGCACACCAGTTAGCACTGTGAGTTTCTTACTTTTCTTTTGTTATACAAGCACAATTTTCCTACAAGTCTTATGCTTAATAGAAAAGAAGCTTAACGCAAAAAAAGAAGATATTTGAATCTAAAAATTATGTTTAAATAATAAGGTACAATTTTGGATTACCCACTTTTATTAGATAGTACTGTTTTCTATTTAATAAGCCAAGTTTGACAGGTGTGTTTATTAACTGATAAGGTTACTATCAAACTGAAATAAGTATCAAAACATCTAATGTTACTTTGCGTCGCGTAGTCGGGTCGTAATTCTTTCATTTGATGAGTGAGAACTAGTTAATGAATATCGTTTCAATCCAGAAGTAGTTAAGTTAGTTTAACATAAATAACAAAAAACTACTGCTTCGCATGTCGACAAAACATTTAAATGAAGGATAGGAAGATCTTTTGAAATCATATGACTGTTAACCCCTAAGCAAATATCAATTATTCATAAATCAATAGAAAATTGTTCCTTACCTCGCTAACACATTCGAGGCACGTTTTACTCATAATGCAATTGTTGACGCGCATTAGATCTCCATTTTGTTTACCAGTAGGTGGCCTTGCCAGTTCGATAAACAAATATACTCGTTGAAAAGGCACATCAATTTGTCTTCAATAGTATTGTGTGTCATTTATATCGAGAATGGAAATAAGTAAATCGTAAATATACCATCGTAATGATTTAAGTCGATTCGTTTGATATGGTAATTTTCGCGTGCTTATATAGGATAAGTTTTGCAACAAATGTTTTTAAAAGCTTGCTTCAAGAACATGAAGCTACAAATCGTCTTGGTATTAATTATTTGTTGTTGAACTCTAATTTGGATTTTAATGTAATTTAAACTGCATTTACAGAGCCAATCAACGCTCGAAAGGAAAAAGAAAACGTTGTCGTTCAGCAGAAAGTTCCCATTCATGAAGAGTCGAGAGGACGGCAAATCTGAAGACGGTTCAGACCAAGAACGTAAGTGTTACAAATGGTTTAAGTTCCCCACACTACTGTATACATCCACAGCACGTCTCACTTGCCATACATTTAAATATCATTAACTGTTCACAGACATTATAAATAATGTATTATATGGTGCAGTGGTACATGTGATATGATAATGATTCTATATTAAGAGTTCGAGGAATTAATCAGTATGTTTTGTGCAGAACAAGTAATTGGTAATTCACATGAGCAAGCGTCACAGGGGTGTGGTGTTTACAATGAAGAGCTTTGCCGCACAGACAAACTAATAAAACAATTTTGTTACAGCTTTCATGCTTTGTTACACGCAGGAGGACGCTAACGCGGACGGTAAGTGCACACTCCCTCCTCCTCTCATATTTATTACTTTCGCTACTGTGCTGTTAATCGTATGTAGGTCATTACGCAGTTTTTTTTTCATGCGGCTGCTAATAACCACTATTTAAAGTTAGGTCGTTTTACATTGGAGCTATTCGCTTATTCTAACCACAGAACCAATTCACGTTCGATGTTAAACAAGTGAATAGAGCTTTCGTGAACGGTTTGCAACCATATTGCGACTATGCAAAGTATACAATTGTTGTATAATTCAATCCTAAGGGCTATCGAAATAATTGTATTGACATTAAAATGTTAAATTCAGCATTATAACCAACCTGTAATAGGTATTTGATTGCCCCTCGTATAGTATATTACAAAAAGTCTTAATATTTACATTTACCTTAAGAAAGAAATGTTCAATGTCATGTTTTTAAATTGTAGTATATTACCTATTATCTATCTTCCTGTATGTTATTATAATTGTATCATGACAATGTGAAAGTTGAAATCACATTTATAATACACACTCCAAATTCTTATAAAGGACTATAAATATTGTTGTGTGAACGTCTAAACATCACAGTGTAGTGAATTTTACTATTATATATCTATTTTAATCAAAATGTGCCGGATCTATGTGAGTAAATTATCGCTTGTAGTGTGTTTGGAAAAAGCATGGTGATGCCTATAATATTAAAATATAGGTCTAGCAAAGTTGCCAGTAATCGGCATATCATTGTCGCTTGTCGAATAATACGATGTTGTGGGCGACCCGGTGACAAGCTATGTACTTATTACTCTGTGTGTTAGATAGTTTTATTTTTTATATGCAGCTCTTATCGCATAACTGTGTTTGTTACGTGTTCTTAAATGTCCAACAGATGGCAGCCGGCATTGTGTCTTATTACAATTTTGATATAAATAATAAAATTGTACTAGTGGTGAAACACGGGTGTGTGATGAGAGCTTAGAGATACGATTTGGTGTTCCACAAGTAGTTAATGTTGATAATGAAAGTGGTCGCAGCGAGCACACGGGTTGGTTTGAGACACATCCGGCCGCCGTCCCGTGCTTCTAGTTGCCTCACCGGAGCCAACGATACATGTACCTATCATCCGTCCAAGGGACGAGTTATTATTATTTGCAATTTATTTTCCCAACCGCTATTCACGAACTTGTAGAGTTCTGCTAACTATACCATGCTAGGGAAGTCGAACACACCTGTCCATAATTCCGAACGGAGGTTCCCACCCCTAGTCCCGTACCATCGTACGGACGCATATTGCTGCGTTTTATATAAATATATGTAACGTTAATTTTTCTACGTGTAGGGGAAATCTTGTACCGAGTGGAACTTCCCATGATGGAGGAGATAACGCTCATTTATCTCGAGGACGAGAGTAAGTTTTGGGAGTGAGGCGTAGCTTGCGAGTGCCGTAGCCGATACCTTACCTCCCGCATTCTGGTTATGATCATCAATTAGAAATGTAGTTTTCATTTCAATAACACTCCAGTTTTTATTATTTGTCATACTTTCTTTATGTTCAGTTGTTTTTAATTCATACAACGCGATACTCTAATAGCCTCTCCGCACTCGAAAATATGACCATCGAGCTCACGAAAGTGTTTGGATGATTGTTTCAAAATTGTAAGTGAGGGCTGTAGTGGGCGGTGGACGTAGCGGGAGTGGGCCACTGGAAGCACACGAGGACACGAGAGCCGCCTCTGTCTCACCGGCTGGAGCTTCGGGCCACGCATGCCAGCACCGCGCCGCTTTGCCTTAGTCTAGCCACACTACGTCACGCGCATGTCTGATCTACTCTCGATCTCACGACATTCTCATACGAGCTTGTTTTCCTTTTCAAAAATTACGCTGTGCTGGTTTATTTTTAGAGTTAGTTTTTGTCGCTTCAGATGTTTAGGGATGCTGTAATTATTATTAGCCTAGCTGTCGCTGACATACATAATTATTGGTTGTTGTAATAAAATGTGTACATTTGCTTATTATTACACTTCTGTTAAAGACGATGTTGATGGGCATAATTGAGCCAGAATTTAATAAATTATACCTTGAAACATGTTGGCAAGACAATGAGGTGGTTTTATTTAATTTTGGCTAGTAGTAAACAGATTCATGTTGTTTAGAATAATGTAGAAAAAAGCATAATAGCGTTCGTTACCTAAGAAATTATGACGTACAAAATTTGTCCTATTTAATTAAATGTTATTCGCCTTTATACAGTATAAAGGTGGTGTACAATGTTAATTATTTCTTGGGGCGAAATAAACTTTTATTCCAGAACTATGCTAAATGTAGCAGGCAGGTGTTTTAATGCATACCTCGCTAAGTAAGTTAAAACAGCCGTCAACTTTTAGTATAGTTACTTATGATATTTTAATTATCTTTATATATTTATAAGTATATTACACACCTCAGTATTACGTTAAACGCTTTAAAAATATGACTTAGGTTAGGTAGAAACTTGATACTGGTCTAATCAATATACTAAGAGTATTATAGAATAGACTATTGAAATTTAAGACCTTTCTAGCCATAGATTTTGTTTCGTGTTTACTGTGTATTGGTTTGAGAATAGGATGATTTTGCCGCACAAGTAATGCACGTAAACGTTATTTTGATTAAAGCACAAATCGCACGAATGATGTTGTGTACACATTTGGTCGGTTATTGGTTACACGGACGTAAGAAACTAAACGATTTGAAGTGGATTTAAGTAGAACGAACGAGAGACAAGTCCTATAGTTTAAAACATACGCACATAGATGGGCACAAAGACTGTCTTCTCTAAGAAGTTAGAAGTTCTACAGACTATGTGTGGTATGCATAATAAAATATGATATGTTACAGGTCAAGATGAAACGGTGCTATCGTATGAGACCGTACAACAGTTGACCATAAGTTACACGCGGCCCGTCATAATCCTGGGCCCACTCAAGGACAGGATAAACGACGATCTTATATCTGAGTTCCCTGAGAAATTCGGCAGCTGTGTGCCTCGTGAGTATTTTACTAAAACAATTTTATCTATATACTCATTGTCAAATGTGAGACTACGACACTAACGTCGTCGTATTGACCGTGTTCCTAGTAAATGTTTTAGTACAATTAAAACTGTTCCATGCCACAATTATAGCCATGTCCGTAAACACCAAAGGGTGCATACATTTCACTACTTATTTTTAAATTCCTGTGATGTTGAGTATTATGCGTATTATCAAAATTTATATCCACGGAAAAGTTAAAATCGTTTATTATTTTGTGACAACAGATACAACCCGTCCTCGACGCGATTACGAGGTGGACGGTCGCGACTACCACTTCGTAGCAAGCCGGGAGCAAATGGAGCGCGACATACAGAACCACTTGTTTATCGAAGCCGGACAGTACAACGACAACCTGTACGGTACCTCCGTCGCATCCGTCAGAGAAGTCGCTGAAAAGGTAAAGGAATAGATAATAATATTAAATAAATAATAATTTATTCACACAGTTAACTTGGTTATAGGCATTTTACTTAGTTAAGCTAGCTTTTTATAATTTTAAAAAGTCAGTTTTCTGAAGAACATGTAAAGGCTCCAGTATAGCTCGAAACAAGTCGTTCATCCCCGATTTTACGTAAAGAGTAAGTACGTAAGCTAGCAGCTAGCAGGGGGAACTTAACTAGTGCTACGACAACTTGTAAAGACAATGTTAAATTAATGATTACGTGGTTCGATTCCCGGACGGGACAACTTGTTTTTATGAAACTGGGTGTGATGAGTATGTTTGTAAACGTACCCTCGAAACAGGAAAAATCTCTATAGTGTATTCACGGAGACGAGTTAGTAGAGCGCTATCTCACTCACACAATTTTTTAACTGCGATTGGTCAGTGATAAATCCTAAAGCGGTGTACACAGTACGAGTACTTTTTAGTCTATTCATACTTCCCGTATTGTGCAGACGTGCTCTTATTTGTGACTGTGCTGTGCGCTCAACTTGTGAACCGGCCGGTGTATTGGATTATATGATTGATTGCTTTGATTGAGATAATGGCGGAAATGGTAAAAATGTATAAAGCATGTCAAAGAAATAGTTGAGCCCAAAATGGATGCCATGGACAGAAATGTGGAAGCAATGACTGAAAGATTCATAATAAATGTAGAAAACGACATTAGTGATAGTACGGAGAGTGATGATGATGATGATATGTTATGAAAATGTATAGGTAGATATTATAATATAATAAAGAAAATATAATCATTAACTCTCGATTTAATTTCTTTCCTCCATATCCATCAGTTAAATAAAAAAATAGGTAACAATAAACAAATTCTATCAAACTGTCTCTCAATTAATACGATAGACGAAGCCGCAAGAAAAAACTAAGCGTACTTTTAAGTAGCGCAGTGTGAACGCACGTTTACCTTTCTAAGGTATTGTTAACGCCCATTGATCCTAAAAAAGATTTTTTGTCTTTGTCATTTGTATGAAAATGTGCAATAGAGAAGGCGCTATACTAACTCGTCTCCGTGAATACACTATAGTGTGGGGCAATCCATTTTAAAATATTATCATTTTATTATGTTGCAGGGTAAACATTGCATTTTGGATGTAAGCGGCAATGCAATCAAGCGATTACAAGTGGCGCAGCTGTACCCTATTGCCATATTTATAAAACCAAAGAGCATAGAGTCTATAATGTAAGTAAGAATATGATGAGTTTTAAATATGTATTATTAGTGATTGCATTCCTTTTCTTCATCTGAATAAATAATTTTATTACTTTCATAGGGAAATGAATAAACGAATGACTGAAGAACAAGCGAAGAAGACATACGAACGTGCGCTAAAAATGGAACAAGAATTCGCTGAATATTTCACCGGTTCGTACGTTTTGATGGCTTTATGCAATACTAAGTAGTGGTATAATCAAAGTACTGACGAATGTTTGATGTTTACAGCGGTAGTGACGGGCGACACGCCGGAGGAGATCTACGCCAAGGTGAAGGCGGTGATCACGGCGGAGAGCGGGCCCGCCGTCTGGGTGCCGCGCCGCGAGCCGCTGTGAACCCCTCCCCCCCACTAGTGCCTCGGTGCCTCGCTCCCTTCCCCCCAGGTGCGGCTCACACGTTTTGTACCAAGTCCCGTGCCCCGCGCGATCCAGCAATAAGCAGTAGTGACCCGCGCCACCCGCCATGTTATACGTACGCTAAGCGTACGATTTTCGCGTCTTTTTAGAATTACGATCAGACTTTCTTCAATCACCGCTTGATAGATAGACCATATCGGAGTTAATTTAGCGTTAATGAGATTTCTAAAGTTAATGTAAATTGTCACCATGTGGATAAATTGTTGACCAAGAACTCGCTAATGATAGCATTCACTGTTGTTCACTGTACTTACGCTTATGTTTATCGTGCAAATTATTAACGAGAACGTGTCGTCGAATGCAAGTTTTATATCGAATTATTATTTAATTATTTGACAATGCCCACTAATTGTGCTTCAATTAACTGTATAGTTATTGTATATTTAATAACATTTTAAAATGGTATTATACATTTTAATTTACTCAGGTTGCTAGATACAATTGGAATTTTTCAGTGTTAAGAGTTTAATATAATACATTACTCAGATAGTGGATTAACGTATGAGACGAGTCACGTGCACAGTTGATGTTGACCGCCGACCGCTACATAAAGTGTATACCTACTAGTTATGATAGTTTCGCTGTGTAGTTGAACCCACCTCACGCATGGCTAGTGTAAGACGTACATAATCAGGATTATTTGCTCAAGCGGCAATCTATATCGTATCGTAACCATTGAATCTCATGACATTTCTGTACACCGTTGTCCTCCTTGACACTTAGACGAGGTGCAAAGTTGTTTGTTGATCATTTTTATAGTAAGCAATTGTGTTATATGGTGTGAAATGTCTCACCAATTTAATAGTGTTTGACATTTATTTATTGAGAATTTTATTTTCTTACGGAATAATTGATGCTCATCTGCAAATATGGCACTAGAAGCGAGCATGTAATTAAGTTGCAATATACTCGTTACGTCTTAGTGTATGCATTGCTGAAATTGTGCCCTTAATAACAAAGTAATAATTACCCTGAGTATTATGTATTTACATTAGTATAAAAAACGATGCATATACTTTTAAATATTAAAAAAAACGTGGTACTTAAATATTTTATTAATATGTTTCAAATGTAATGCGAATGTTGAAGTATTAATTAATTAACTCATACATGACAAATGCTAATGACGGTTATTACAAAATATTTTAAACTTTGGACTCAGAAAGGCATTACGGCAAACTTAGTTGGTGTAGGTACTATTAGTAGGAAAGAACTGTTAAATTGTTGAATCCACCAAAGAGATTTGACACTGTTTATATTAGCAATATTTGGCCAAGCACTATTTACACGACGTTGATTACACCCCTGTTTGTCGTGGTTCCTTTTTACGATTTTGTTGTGTAATGTAAATAATAATAATAATAGACATTTTAATTTATTTTTAAGATTCTATATCATGTATTAACACCATAGTCACGAAAATGGTTTATTTTTAAAGCTATTTATTTTATCATTTATAAGTAGGTATTTTATTTAATAATAAATTGAGTTTGTGCAAATTAAGTGTATAATGTCTTTTTAACATGTAGTTTATAACATTTTAATCCACATCCATATTTGCAGATGTACAATGTTTATGAGTTAGTGATGTTCAATAGAATAGTTTGAATAAAATTATTTACGTTGAAAATTGACTATTGTTTTTTTCTACTCTGCGCCTTATTTTTAGCCGCATGGAAAATCCTGGCGTTACCGGTGCCTGAGGTTGAGCGACCAACATTTCTAGATATAAGTATACCCTTGTTTTGAACTATTTGTAAGGTTGAAAATCCTACCTAGCCAAGCAATGTCTAAACCTGGCAAGAACCAATGTGACTTTCCGAGTTCTAAGAATACGTCAAATTATAAGTTTCAAAAAGGCCATCTCAAGTTCCACGGAGTCCTCGTCCTTATTAATGGGATTATTAATGCTCCACATTATGCTCCAACTCCTAGGAAGAAGAAGCCTTTGCTTGGCAATGGGCGCTTATAAGCTCAGATTTCTTTCTTGTCAACCCTGACCGAATAAAGTGAATATTGGCCCTGTTGGACCATCTGTGATGTTCTAATCACTAGACCTAGACTAGACTTTAGTGGCACTTTAACCACTACTACTAAATATTGGCGCGCGGAACGTTACGCGACATACGTTCGGGTCTGGTTCTGGTCGGCTGGGGAATTACCCGCGCCCGGATATCGTCGCTGGATCCCCGTCGCCAGGAGTATCGTCTACTGCGGCGGCTGGGGCGTCAAAATAGTTCCCCTCCTTTGCGAGCATCACTGCTACCAGAACGTGGAGTTGGCTTCCCAGTTCCTCTTGCTCCACGCTTACGCGAGAAATCGCCGCCTTCCCTGAGGACACGGCGGTGCTGAGCCCCCCAAGCAGGGCAAGCATGACCTCGGTATAATATGCTTCAACGTGTCCTTCGAGTTGCTCTTCTTAACAACAACTCTCGGACGTTTAGTTCCGCTCGATCCTAAATAGTTAGGCACCTACCTAACGAAACTTCCGCGTCCAGTAAGCACATGTGTCAAGCGGAAGGTAAGGCCGATAAGACGTTTCTCTAGCCACTCCTCAAAGGAATTTTAACGCTGTTATAACAGCGTGCCCAATAGCTTTCGGTGTGATGTTGTTTTTAAAGATCCTTGTTGGTAGGTAATTCTTATGGTACCTAATCAATCGACGCCACCCGTGGAAACCCGCAATACCAGAGCTACGAGAGCGTTTCCGGCCTTTACGCCATTAGGGTTTCGGAGACTTAGACATTGGGGAGATGAAGGATTGGCCTCCGGTAACCTTACTCACACGGCGAAACAACGCTGTGGTTGATTCACGCCGTTTTCTGTAAGGTCATGCCATCACTCCGGTCGAGCCGACTCATTCGTACGGAAGCTTGACTCTTCCACCGAAACAAGGGGTTTTAGCCAAAAATGAGTAATTTTTTCAAAATTCCTTAAAATATTGATACTCACCCCCATTTCAAACGTCTATTTACCTATATGTTCACCTAATGAAAAAAAAGATTAATGAATAGGGAGGTAACTAAGTATTTCCTTTTGTATAAACAATTTTCATGGACTAACATAATATGGTCCATACTACTCTTATAATTGTTTTGAATCTAATACGTATGGCCTTTGACTTGGCTGTGTGCGTGTGTGTACCAATATTGTTTTGCGCCGATGATCACGTTTGGACTCAGCATTGAAAAGCTGTATTGTATTTCGACAAATTGACGCCTGTAGGATAAATATAGCAAACTACTTGCTTTACTTTGAAGATCTTTTATACTGATTACCATATGGTAAACAGTCGGCGCCCCCTTGGACACCTACAACACCTAAGGAGCTAGAGTGCATTGCCTCTTGGTATAGGGTTTCGGGCATTATCTGATTTTATTTCCCAGTGGGAAAGAAGAGGTACACATGGGTCGAATTAGGCAAAATCGGTACTGCTCCATCTAATCAGTGTAACTAAATACCTAATCCTAATAGGTACCACGCTTTGAAGATGCGGACTCGAACGAAAAATGTCTAATTTCTGAATGGATGGATTATTTTTATTGTTCTTGTTATGGACTGTGTGATAAAGTGCAAGTATGTATTATGTGTTGTATCTAATCCTGTACGCTTTGGATTATGAAGGTCTTGTGACCTCTGGGTGGCTAAGCTAGATTATCTGGTTTCATTTCATTACAGTATATTTGGATTGAAACTTGTATATGCAATCATGTCTATTTTAATACTTTATGGTTTCTAAATGAGTCTACAATTATGGTTAAACAAATTGGTATGAAAATAAAACTAATTTTATCAAATTAAAATTATTTTATGTCCTTAAATCTCATCCACTTCCACAGTTGTTTTCTCAGACACATAGAGACCGTCTAAGAACTTTCTGATGTCCTTGTTTTTCACTGTGGTTGATTGTTGGATAAGGGCCGCAGAGCTGGACACATCCTCCAGGGAGTTGCCTTCAATGATCAGCTCATCCTTCTGTTTGGGTGAGTTGACAACGGTCACACCAGGTGCCATCTTTACCCTCCTGATGTATTTTTCACCAAGGAAGTTACGGATCTCAATGACTGAGTTGCCCTCAGTTGTGACACAGTTGATGGGGAAATGGGCGTATACAGAACGCATTTTGTACTGGAATCCCTTGGTTACACCTGAAATATAAAAATGTCATGGTTATAGAAGTATAATAATTTGTAATTCAATTTCATTAGCAGAATAATATAACTCTATTCTGTCTCATGATGTTTATCTGAATTAGATGCACTAATTTATTAAACAGAATTGGCTTTTTAATCAGTTAGACATTTAAATTAGGTCTTTTTAGCACCTTGTGGTGAAAACAGCAGTTTCATTTAGGGTTAAATCTGCCACATGCTTCTAAGTAACTGAAAGCTTTTCAGCTGCTTAAATTCAATACTAATTTCTAGCTGACAATAACTTTACACATTTCTTGAAAATAAGTAACAAAACTAGGAATATACAGGTGATTTAATTTCCCCCTGTTTATATTATTTCCTTATGTGTTTATATTGTAAGCTATTAAAAGTACTTTGATACTCCAAAGATGAAGCACGGGATAAAATTAGGCATATATATATATAAGAATAAAACATGTTGTCTTCTGAATAGAAACCTACATATACTAAATTTGGAATGATAGGTCCGTGGGTAGCCTTAGGGGATATGATACTATAATCTCAGTAAATATTTAACGAGTAAGGCTAGTAGTGATTTTAAACCACATACAAATACAATATCTAGTTACCACAGTATACACAACTATTTAGTTCTGTGGCAAGTCATAAATGCATTCTGACACTGAAATTATTTTAATTACACTCTAAATTCGCAATATTGAAACAAGCAAATGAATATCCATAAAGGGGAATTTGCGTATCTTTAATGGTTCAGTATTAGCTATAGAAGTTAAAAATTTCATAAGACACTACAGTAAAAATCCACCATTGGTCTAGAAACTCCATTAGGTTTTCCATAATAATAAACTATAATACCATGTGAAGGCATTTTTCAAGTTATCTACAGGATGAGAAGTAATACTAGTCATTCTCACACAAAATTTATGCTTTTTCAGGTTATAACACTAATCAATAGAATAAAAACATAGAAGTAAACAACTTACCTTTGATCATGTTCTCAACGTGTGAGCAGACAGTCCTCACGGCAGCGAGTTCCTTCTTGGAGCCAAACCATTTTTCTACCTTCAGGACTCGCGGGTTCACCATGCGAATGTCAACAGCCAAGTGCTTGAAGTTCCTTTTCAAAACTCCGCGCGGTCCTTTCACTGTCACCAACCGCGATTTAACGTGTACAGTGAGCCCCTCGGGGATCTTCACTTTCTGATTCGCAACTATTTGCTTCATGGTCAAGCCTAAAACGATAATAAATATGGTTACAGAACTTAACCTGTTTGTAGTAACACTTGTCAACTCGGGAGAGTATGTTTTAGGTTTAGTAAATGAAATATAGTTTACAACTGATTCTAAACGTTATTCCTCATATAAATTAACCACTCGCACATCAATTCATTAAATACTTAAAGAGATTTTAATGGATTTTTGTAATTACAAACATATTCACCTACTTTCTTTGACACAAGAGCCGGAAAAGGCAGAATCGCCAAAAAGGTGTTGCTAGTATACAAATTTGACAGATGTCATTCTACTAATATTCTCAATTGTCTGAAAAATTTAATTTTGAACAAATTTTTGCGATCGTGAAATGTTTGCAATCATATAAAAAGTAATTTATTATTATTATTCTTTTGTAATCATTATTGTAGTAAATAAAAGAAAACCAATTATACAGCGTTTGAATAATTCTAGTTAATGCGGCAATGAACATTATACGCAAAGCTTGATCGACTTAAAATAAGGAAATAAAGACACCAATACATCTTTGATTTTTAGGGATGTTATTGTATGTATTTCGCTTAGTATAAAATTGTAGAAAAATATCAGTAATTTAATAAACCTCTAACTATCATTTTGCTTAAAAAACTTGTATCCAGGCCATAAACTCCAAAAAAAAAATAGAACTGTCATTAACATTAATTAAAAATGTCACTGTCAGTCAGGAGTGCCACTGTCAGTTGTCAGTTGTCAGGCACTGGAATCTGGGAAAACAGGCTAAAATACAGAATACTTTATAAGAAACAAGATTATTAAATGAAAATCTGTAACAAAAACATTTAACAATGTTCAAATCATTTATTCAAGCAGAAGTAACGCTATGCCGTAGAATTTTTGTAAGAGGTAAGTAAGTTCTAGGTTATTTAAGAAGCTGGAACTGAATCAGGTGATTTACAACTCATATTTAATTATTTACAGGTCTTAACACTAGATCGCCATGGGACATTGTCACGGGAGTTTGTGTAGAGAGACTGCCAGTGGTGACACCACCACTGAATGAGATGCAAAAAAAGTTTATGGCTCTTCAAAGTACCTTGGAAATTGAGAAGAGTATGAAGTCAGACCACGAAATTCGACATGAAAGCGATAAGTATGTGATCACTTATACACATATGTGTATATATTTTATTTTTCATTATTATATACTATTAAATTTTGTTATTTATTTTGAAGAATTCAGGCTGAACTTCTAAAAAAGGAGTCTGCTGATGTGGATGTGGATGCAGTGAGTAAAATTACTGCTCAAGACTTTGAGGATGCTGCTACTGAAGAGCTGGCTCAGTTCAAATTTGCTAGTATAGAAACAGGTAAGATACATTTTAACATCAAATTATATTTCAAATAATTATTTTGCAAGTGAAAACATTCCCAGTGTTACTGTTATATTCTAATTCACATAAATTGCAACAGTTACTTATTGAAGCATATTGTTAAATTCAGATGCTGACAAAAAAGTTGATAAAACATCAACGGAAAGATGTCTCCAAAGACACGTGGTGTTAGTGACACCCGTTAAGGTGGGATCTGATATCAAAACATTACTACCTCAAGGATTATGGCAAGAAGGAGAAACATTAAGACAGGTATATGAAACAGAATAATAGTATCAAATAACTGTATTAATTCATTAAATCTCAAATGATCGCCAGAATTCATGCATATCTTCTATTGTGTCTTCATTTACCTCTATTGAAAGATTAAAAAAGGAATCAAAGTTCTTTGAGGACTGATTTTTCAATGTTTAGATAACAGTTGTCTGGGGAATAATTATGATGCTGTCGCGTCAGAATGTTTGTATAAGACAGTGACAGCAACAATTTTATTCTTCAAATACCATTTACCTGACTATTGAAAAATCAGCCCTAAATGTGGTTATGTATTTAAAGCAAGTTATACTAGCTCCATTACCTCTATGGTAAAATGTTAAATGAGTTAAGAGTATAAAAAAGAAAATTTTCTTTTAAACCTGATGTATATGAGGCAGTATTTACAGGCACATCTAATGTTTTTAGGATATATTATTACATATATTTTATATATTGTGTACACTTTACATTAATACTCTTCATCAATAGACAGTAATTCATGTGTTAAAAATGTTTCAGACTGCTGAAAGAATAGTAAAGGAGCAGTGTGGTTCTGAAATAAATGTACAGTTCCTGTCAAATGCACCATGTGGCTTTTATAAGTACAAATATCCCTCTGAAGTCAATGGGAAAATAGGTGCTAAAGTAAGTATAGGAATTACCAAGATTTCACTTGATAATATTCAATTTCTATCAGCAAGGTGCACATAGAATTGTAAACAAGTCTTTGTTTTATTTGTACAAAAATCTTACTTTTCGCTATGAGATCTCTGAATTTTCTTAATGTTAATCACAAATAAATATGTTATTAGCCCCATACCCTATATTGTACCATACATTTTACATATGGCACCATTACCATAGGTTGCATATTTCACTAGCATGGATGTTGCTATATTGTACCCATCTCTTTGAAAATGGGAAATCTCATAGAATTTTCGTTAATATGGTGTTGCGATTTTCCATTAAGAAATAGAACAAATACTTACATATCTTGTAATGATCCTTTGTTGCTGAAATTTAGAACCCATGACATGTCACAAAGCATGCTAACAACAACCATAGCACCAAATTCGTCTAAATTTGTAAATTACATAATCATAATTTATGAGGTACTAACAATACACTGGTGAAAATTAAATTCAATTAAAGTAAAAATTTCTAAAAATGATTGGTTCGGCTTTTGTTGACCTTATAAAGATGTGATGTTTAAGCTAGTTTTTCTTAAATACTTTTTTCAAAAGTCAAAAGAACTTAGGTATTTTAATTAGACCCTTACAGGCACTTTTGAACGTCAACAAACAAAGCTTATAGATAAAAAGTGTCAGTCTGTCGGTTAGTGTTGATGGACTTGTTAATCATAGATTCTATTCTATTTCAGGTATTCTTCTATTACGCTAATTATAAAAGTGGGAAACTAAACAAGACTAAAGGCAACTGGCTAACTCGCAATGAACTTGAAGATATATTGCCAGACAGATATAGCAAGTCTGTCAAAGAGTTTCTAATAGAAGAAACATATTGATAGTTTGTACATAGAATAGAAGTTTTGTAGTCATAATAAAATATGTTTTTAATGTTTATTTTGTGTATTATTTTTTATTTATTTATTAAGGTAATTATTACTGGTAAGTTACAGAGCACGATGATTTTACAATACTGATTGGTATCCTTAGTTATTACTTACTTATTGAGTTATTATTTAGGATACCAATAAGTACTACATAATTTACACAACATGATTTAGGTATGGTACATATAAAGTTTTTCCGTATGGGATACGTCGGCAAACGAGCGTACGGATCCCCTAATGATAAGCAATCTGCGCCGCCCATGAACTCCTGCAACATCAAAGAAGTTATGAGTGCGTTGCCGGCCTTTTGGGGATAAGGGCTTCAGATATTTAAGGATTGGAAGGAATGTGGAGAGGGGGGAGTATTGGGCCTCCGGCAAACTCACTGCCACGGCGTAATACAATGCTCTTGTTGTTTCGCACCGGTTTTCTGTGAGGACGTCGAGCCGCCACCCATTCGTGACGAAGCATGGCTCAAAAGTATTACGTTAAGGTACATGGAGGTAAGTAGGTAATGAATACGTAGTATATGTATATGTGTAGGTAGGTGCCTATAATATACCTACTTGACACTACATTTTCCCCAATTACAAGGCTTATTTAACAGAGTTTTTTCATCATCTGATTTAAAAAGAGTAACCATGGAGTTTCTTGCTCGTTCTTTTCCATCGGAATCTACACTTTGAAACGAGCAAATAGATTCACTAAGAGGACTGACCGACAGACTATTGATCATTAAAATTTTGTTTGACGTTCAAAAGTGCCTGTAAGCTTCTAATTGAAATAAATGATTTTTGACTTTTTTTGTCTAACTCAATAATGTACCCAGCCTCAAAAAGCCCGTAGGTAGGTACTCACCTACAGGCTTTTTGAGGAGTGACTAGACGCCACGGCATCCTCACCTTGCACCTTACCGGGCACGGAAGCTTCGGTAGGTAGGACCGACCATCTCGTCATTGTGAGCACAACTAGGAGGACACGGTGGAATATGAGGTGGCGGTGTGCCCTGATTGGGCTGAGCACGGCCATGTCCTCAGGGAATTGATCGGCGGTGCCGACCTCAAGCGCCGGTCTTAGTCTAGGCCATGGTGTGGAGCAAGGGGAACTAGAAGCTGTCTCCTCTTTAGGCGAGGCAAACTCGCAAAGGAGGTGGTGGAGCGCGTGAGGGAAGTATCCTCCTTACGCCCCAGCCGCCAAAGTAGGCGACACTCCAAGCGTTGGGGATCGAGCGACGATCTTCGTCTTCGGTCAACATTTTTTTTTTTTTTGTGAGGGGAAAATCATCAAATGACTTCTCCCGCCCAGGGCCGGGCAGGAGGGAGTGTCAGACTCTTACTGACTAAAAACCCCCCTGTTCCTTCTCCTGCTCTGTGCCGAGGTCGCGGTACCTCATTGCGCTTACTCCGCAACCCCGGCTGAACATCAGCCCTTTAGGGCCCCGTCTGTGGTGGTCGAATGGCTCTTTGGGCGCGCGCGGAACGCTACGCGCCGTACGCTCGGGCCTGGTTCTGGTCGGGCGGCGAGCTGCCCTTACCTACTCGCCGACCGCAGGCCCGTGCTTACGGTAGCCGGAGATCGTCCCTCGATCCCCGACGCCCGTAGTGTCGCCAGTTGCGGCTGCTGGGGCGTGAGGAGGAGGATTGCTCCCTCACGCGGGCCGCCTCTCTCTTTGCGAGCATGACTGCTTCACAAAAGTAGGAGACGGCGTCCCAGTTCCTCTCACTCCGCACCATGGCCTCGACTAAGGCCGGGCGCGAGAGGTCGCCGCCGCCGATCACTTCCCTGAGGATACGGCGGTGCTCAGCCCAGGCAGGGCATACCGCTAATCTTCGGTCAGCGTAAGCGCTGGTCTGTGAACAGTGAGCAAGGGTAGCTCGCCGCCCGACCGGATACAGACCCAAGCATACGGTGCTTAGTGTTCCGCACTCGCCACAAAGAGCCAACAAACCACCACAAACGGTGAATTCAGCTGGGGTTACGGGGTTAGCGCAACAAAGTAGGAAGGTACCTACCGCGGCCCCAGGCTGAAGTAGGAGAAGAAACGGGGTGTTTTTAAGTCGGTAAAAGTCTGCCATTCTGTTTCGCCTCACCCTGGGCGTCGGTCATTTTGATGAGTTTCTTTATTCAAAATTGAAAACGCCCCAACCCGGATGAGCCTATTGTATCTAGGCAACCTGGTACCTACCAATTAAGATCGTTTTAAAATTTCAATAAGTAATAGCTTACTTTGCGACTCGTAAAAAGATTTGAAATTCCATTTTGGCAGTCGATCTTAGACCATTAGAATTGGGATGATGACTCAAAATGTTTTCACAAATAAATTTACCTACGTCTTTAATATCGATACGGTAGGTACCTAATCCCAATATTATTATGACGTGACAACTTAATAATCTCATTCAAAATGCATAACAATGTGTTTGATATTTCATAGCAATTTACTTAATTTGATTTCTCACTATCCATTAGATTTTTGTCCATGTCATGAATATTTTTAATCTTATCTAATAAGAAACATTGAGAGATACCTACACACATAATAACTATTTTGACTACTAACTGAATGGGATATATCCCATTCAATTAAAAAACTACGCGAGTAAAACTGCGGGAAACAGCTACTTCTAAAAGAAGCGTACTAGGTACTAAGTAGGTTGCTCGTTAGTGTCATACATACCTAAATCTGCCTAAGAATTGTGTAGTCGAAAGTTCTGGTCAACCCTGGACACTGAAACTATTTCTAATTGACAAATATTTTCATAGCTGTAATGTTATGAAAGGAACGAACGTTTAATGTTTTATTGTTATGAACAATTAAACTTCAAAACACATTATTCATATATCTAACAAAAGAGTTCGTAGTACAACATTGTATATTTTCAGAATTTTCTAGACATGCATGTTTTTCATTCGACATTCTGTTTACATTCTTGGAAATTATGTAAACTAGGTACTTAGGTAGTGACGATTGATGAATGGCTAGTGCTGGCGCCGGGGGCGAGGTAGGTATATAAACATGGGCTAGTTATATTATGTACTAGTTTTAAGCCAGCGGCTTTGCCTGCATGGAGTTTAGGAGATTTCTTTTACCCCGATTCCTGCAAGAATATCAGAATCAGTGTAAAGGCTATCTTAATCCCTAAAAGCATTAAAAGGTCCAAGTTTACAATAAATTGTGATGAAAATGTTCAAACCGGTTTATAGTAGTTTTCAAGTCTGTTCAATCCAAACAAATAAATCAACTTATCATTCCTCTTTATGATACTACCTGGTACAGATACAGGTAAGTATGTAGATGAACTATAGATACCTGTAGTTTTCTTAAAACCAGAAATCAGTTTGTTTTAGTAACCTTTTTTTTGATGGGAGAAAATCATCAAAAGACTTACTCCTACCCTGGGTGGGGCGAGAGAGAGTGTCAGACTCTTACTGACTAAAACTGTCTCGTGCCCTATCCTGCTCCGAGCCGGGGCCGGTTCATTATTGCGCATGCGAGTGCATTCCCGGCTGGCTCCAGTACCTAATCATAATCATAATAATCATAATTCTTTATTGCATCCACAATGTAAGATAAGATGGTAATAATATGTATAGTAACAATCATGGACCCTGATGGGCACAGCAAATAGTAAATTAGAATCCTATCCATTAACCTAAGTTTAAAATAAAATTTAAAACTAAAAACAATAACAAGTTCCACTAACAATGTCCGATTAATTTTAAAAGCTCTGCATTACAGTGCAATTTGTTCCGTGAAATAAACAATGAAAAATATGACCATTTTAGAGCACTCTCTTGGCACTAAACTATATTAAAATATGGATTTCCTTGCCCATTTTAAAGTGCGCAGTTAGCTTTCGTTTCTTACAGGGGTACTGAGAAATAATGTTTAGTGCGAATCTCGCGCGGCCAGCACTTCACAGTAAAGCATCGAAATAGAAGTTTACTTAAACAATGAGCGGGGTTTACGAGTAAACACTTTTTGGTGCTCGACTCCCGAAGATTCCAGGTGTTCGCCATGCCAAATCTGAATCTTATGAGCTTGGTATTAGATTTTACTTTACATTACAATTAATGAGCGTTTTAAATGAGAATTGGGAATATGTGGTTTTTCGATATCGCTCCTTATGTCGTGTGTAGAGAGTTGGATTTTCTGTTGATGATCGTGAGTTTATTCGCTAAAGATGGAACATGTTAGCTGCACTTCCCAAGGCTCCCGTCTTTTCGTTTACAAACAACGGTGAGCTGTTTTTCGTTTGTGCCGTGCGAGATTAAATAATTTTCTATGAAAAGTATGTAAACATTGTTGTGTTGTTTTCCTTCCGTCAAAGTACTTAGGTTGTTACAGTTAATTGTTTATATTAAGAGTCCCTGGGATTAGTAGGCTATATAAGTAGTCCTTTGAATGAGTTTACTTAATGGTCAGTTGTGCATTAGTTAGGCAAGTTAATGACGTTGTGAGTAAAAACTGGAGTTAGTATTGTTGTACTAATAGGTTATAATAGGTATTATAATAAGTACTTATTTTTACTATGATATCGAGAGACTTATCGACCCCAGAGCCAAATCTTTGCAACGGTTTTGTGGGGCTCATCTTATGAGGTAAATTTTTTTTGTGAGATGTAATCAGGTAATGCTTCCTCTTGTTTGCCATAAACGAGCTCATGGACGTTCGCAACAACAGAAGAGTTACGAGTGCGTTGCCGACCTTTTGGGGATTAAGGATTTGGAGATTTAGGGATTTTTTTTTCTTGAAACACAGACCCGGAACAACAATTTATGGGTAACACAAAGAGTTGTTCCGTGCGGGAATCGAACCCGCCACACGTTACACGGCAGCCAGTTGCCCAGCCACCGCACCAACCGTGCAGAATTGGGGAGAGGGGAAGGATTGTCTCCAGTAGTGATGACCCACATATTATTTAATACATAAATAAACATTAGGTTTGTTATATATCTACCGTTTATTTATTAACAATATGTGTAAACCAAAAGTAAAAGCATTTACTT